TTAAAGCTTAATTTTGAAAATTTTTCTATTAGAATATTAAATTTTGTGCGTATGTCAAATGAGAGTAATCTAAATATTTTGAGTATATGTTTGCTTGAATGGAATTTGTATTTATTTGGTCTACCATCTACTTGTTATAGGTACGCTTGAGCATACGAACAATTTTGATACATTTGAAATGAACATTTTGCCTTGTGAAACAGAGCTGAAAGAAACCTTTCGAGAAGTTGGCAGTGAGGAAAAAAAATTAAGGCAAACGCCTTTGCTTTGTTACTTTGCCAAAACTAAATAGAGTGAAGAATGTAGAAGCCCTCGCGCTTAAAGTTGTTCATTTAGAGATGTGAAAGATCCTCGTGCTGGAAATGTATTTGGCAAGTTTGAAAAATGAAATGGCAACATTTTTTGAAAACGCTTCACTACAGTGCCAGCAAAAGTTCCCAGTAGCTTAATAAACAAATACCAAAATAGAATGCGTTTAAAAAATAATGGAACTTTAAGGAGGTGGCAATGTATTTTTATTCCAGAATGCATAGTCACAAATTAAGCTGTTCGGCACAGGAAGCCGTTTTCCATGCAGTCGGTAATATGCGGGGTGAGTGAGACATGTCCGATTTAGAGAATTTTATGGAAGTTAAGCTACAATTAAGACTAGACTAAAGCTTCTCTCGAGGAAACTGAATAGGTTAAGGAAAGAACCTTTCGAGTTAGGTAATGTTATATAGATGTTTTGAGAAAATTTCAGATTATGAATAAAACATTAAATAAAGACTTCAACTGAGGAACAAAGCTATGCCAGAAAACTTAATATGGAATCCAGACAAAATACACCAAAAAACAAAGTACAGGTGCAAAAATAAGTAAAATTAAAAATAGCAGTGCACGGTAAGCAACCTTGAATATTTATTCTGAAAATGCCCTACTTTTTTGCTATGGGAAGACTGGGATAAGAAAGGACTCCAGAGGGCCTAATACACCAACAGGTGCATAATTAATTTGTTTCACCATTTATCACTCATTCAAGGTCGTTCCATTAGTTTTGAATGCCCTGCGTTTTCCGCAGTTGCCTCACAATGTTGAATGTTTACATACCCCGAAGTTTGACAACCGGTATACTTTTAGTTGCATTCAACACATTATATAATCAACTACCTAGATATTCTGTGCAAGAAATATTCCAGTGTACTTATTGAAAATCATTGAAATTCCTTAAAATTGTGAAAGAGGAAGCTTCAGCTTTTAAAGTTCACTGAAAAGTTAAAACCGAGATTAGGATTGCATTTTTCTTCAGCATGAAGTTGTCAAAATGTGCAAAAAAGTAATGCTAAGTTTTTAAACAGATATTCACTAATCTAAATATATAGAGAGAATAGTACAATTCTGTTTTCTAGGGCTGGTTAAGAAAGAAGAATTTTCCTTCGACAACAAAGTCTTGTTTTTTTAAATAAATGTTTTAAGATTAAATATTTGATAAAATAGCACGAGTTTTCAGAACCAATGAAATTTATCTCAAGTCCAATCTGAAGACCATATGTCGTTAAAGTTCAGTCATGAAGGCCTAGATGAATAGTATTGTATGGTTCGCAATTTCTTCCTCCCTATTAATTTTATGAATAGGGGACATTTTAAAACTGTTTACATTTAAATAAACTAGCAGTTTGCCAAGTCATTCAGTAAACAGATTCTGAAAGTACTTTACAAACAATTTTCAAAAATGGTAAAAATTACCAACTTTTAATGTGAAATTGTAAAATCAGATTCTGTGCAATTCGAGATTTTATTCTTTCATGCTATACTTCATGTAGTTTCATAAAAAGTAAAGCATGAGTATAAAAGCAATTACTTTGGATAGTCTGACGACAAAAGAAATTTTGAGTAAAGAATGAAAAGAAGTGCACATACAAGATGCTTGCAATTTTATCTCCAAACACTAGGATTAGCAGCCAATTCGTACAGAACATTGTTGATGTTAAAGAAACTGTTTTAGTTATGACCTGAGTAACTTGAAATAGTCTCATCAGTAACACTGCCGTTTCAATCACCATGTGCATTGTTTCGTCCCTTTCATTACTTTGTACCTGAACGGAATTGGCAGACTGAAGAAATGGGTAAGCCTTAAAAGTGAACTTGCATTGACCCATCCGCGATTATATGCGAGTAGCGAAAACGTTTTCCAGTGAACTGTCCGACGTGAAAAATCGCGAACGTTTGTAGAGATCCATGGGCCATGTAATAAGAGAAAAAGACGGAAAGATTTTTAACTTAAATCAATTAACTAACGCTCTCGTTTAAGAGTGCGCACCGTTTTGTGTCGCCAGAATCGAACCATGACGAGTATATTCGTCAATCACAGAGTAATTAGCGCTGGTAAGATATTTGATGCACAAGACGGGTTTATTTTACAAGACTGAAAATTTTATTACTAATATTTACTTATTTGGTTAACATAAGCATATATTACGTACATACATATCAAACTAGAAACAATAACTTAATTATACATATAAACTTAAATTGCGATTCCTTCCTGATCTTACGTTTGTAGAAATGCGAACACTTTCACGTAGTGTTTTTTTTCAATGTTCTGGGTATATAATCCGAAACACGATTCCCGCTTAATTGGCTTATATTAGGTCTAAATGGCAGATTTTGTCTATTTTTTCCAATTGGATACGTCGCAAAAGTGCCTTCAATAAATTTGAGCAAAATGTTTATATGCAATGTTCCATTATTTTTTTATATAATATGAATGCATTCAGACACAATGTCTAAGAAATGAGGAAATCTTTTTGTAGTACTTTTTGAGTAGTTTTCTTGCTGTGGAGTACGCTATGATAATTCCATCGCTCGTATCCACTCCACCCATTTTTTTTATTATAATCAATCACTAGTTCCGGTTTCTTTGCTATTTTTATTCTCTTGTTTCTATTACGTTGTCATTATGTACAGTACTTACTAAATAAACCTCCCTTTTATCTTTCCATTTCATCAACATAATATACGCATGACAAGTATACTCGTCAATACACAAAATCGTGCCGCTTCTCCATGACGAGTATATTCGTCAATCAGTTAACTGGTTAATAAACGTTAAAGGTTTGGGGGATCCTTTAGCCCACATATTGAAGGGGCGAGATCAGTAGAACAGGAGAGGCAGAAGAAAGGGTTCCCAACCCCAACAAAAGAAATTTCAATATCCATTCAATAAACATAATCTAGCAGCCAGGCAATAAAGAACTTTAAATTGGATTACTTAATAGAACATAACTAAAAGGGGAGATACTATTTCAGCTTCTTTAGAAGATAACCAAATATTGGGCCTGGCAAACATAACACAGGGAAATTGCACGTATGTACAGAATAGAACAGATGTAAATTCTTCGAAAGCAGAAAAATCAAGAATGACAATATCTGAAGAATCCTCCTTCAAAAAATAGGCCATCCCAAGCGAAGCCAGTAGAAATCGCAGAATAAATATACTCCATTAACAGATCAACATGAAGACAAAAGGCATTCCTTTGATATAATTGAGAAATCCTTCCATAAACATTACTGTTCTCAGTTATACATTTGACATTCTACACAGAATTTAAAGCTGAAGTATGAAGAAAGATTTTTATATGTGGAGCATTAATGATTTCAGTACAGTAGAACAAGTAATTAAAACTTTAAAGTAGCCAACTTCGTATGAGATGAGCAGCGAGAAAACCTGGAAAGTCATTCTGAAGAAAATACCAAGAACCATACCAGAAGAAATAAATAACTAAGAAATTTTCCCATCATAAGTTTTATGCACATTATGAGAGAAAATGTGTTATTACGTTTTAAAATTGCGCTATCGTTTTGGGAGTTAACGAACTGATACAGGTAAATCAATATACAACATAAATAACAGTTATTTCACATCGAAACGGCTCAGTCTGAAGACCAAGTGCTTTAAATACCAAAGATTTGCTTTTAGCATCTATATTTCAACTAGGTTAGACGCGGCACAAGAAATTAAAGAAGCAATGTTTACTCAATGAAAAAGAGGGAAAACGGATATAGAAATTCAGCTGTGAACAGCTAGAAGGGTCGTAGGAAATTGCAAAATTCCACCAGGAGTCGAGAGCTAGAAAAGAAAACCTGTTCTGCAGGAGAGAATTTCTCAGCATCGACCAGAACTGAACATGAGCTTTGTTGACAGGAAATAGACATGCTAAACTCTCAGATTGCATCAAGATTTTTGGAAACTTTCATATGCCCCAAAAATGTTTTGGCAACTTATCTGTTCACCTTTATTATGTTTTGCACTTTACGCCAACGCTTCATGGATGATTTCCCAACTGCAAACTAGCATCTTTAACGATGAAACTGCGACTATATCAGCATGGTCAAACAAATGAAGGAGCACTTATTTGCTATTACTGCTCTTTATGGCAACCAGAGGCAGAAACGCTCTCCGAAGGTAAGATTATTTTGCAGCAAACTACTGGTGCTAGGCTGATGTGGTGGCGGAACAAAAATATTGCACGTTCCAGTTATGGATAATGGTATGATGTGGAGTCACGTAAAAGCATAGTATAGTCCACTTACTGTAGTTTTGTCGATGTTAATATCAGGTCTTATAATGTAGTTAGCGTTTCCTAGCTTTGTTGCAAATAGTTGAAAACAAAATCTACTCCTTTAAGGATTTAAGAAGCTCTATTAAACAGAAGTAACAAGATTCAAAAGAAGAAAATTCAAGGTTTCCAATGTCCCACAAGATGCGGTTCGGATTCTTTCCCTTCTTTAAATTGGCTTAACGATTTAAAGATTATTCTGGCCGTTTCAAAATTAAAGTTTATGATGTAATGGATAATAATGTTACAGCAGAAATTTTCCTCGCATAAGTATGATTTTTACTAATCTCAAAATGTTTGATATTTCACAATGAAAACTATTTGTATAATATATCAAAATGTATTTAAAGCTAACATACAAGCATTAACATGTTCTTTCTCTGAAGTAAAGGCTAATCTTACCTGGCCTAGGATCAAGGGAAGCTTTATCGTTTTGTCTAAGTAAACTCAGATATCCAGAGCTATGACTTTTTCTTACAGGAGGGATATCTTGTTTCATTTGGTGTTGAGTGTTTCTCCCAAAGTTTGGTACTCTTGCCTTCATACCACAATAGTAAGGGTCATCTGAAAAACAGCAAGATGCTGTAGAATTAAGCTGTAAGGTAATTTAAAGTAAACTACCTTAAACTCAATTCATTATTTAAGACCGACTAGAAATACTAAGAAAACAAACCTTTATAGCCAGAATTATGCATTCGTTGTGCTGGTTTTTCTCGCTTCCAGTCGTCATAATCAGGCTATAAAACAAACCATTGTTTAAACATTTTGAAGTTTCAGTAAGATAAAAATTTAATCATGATTTAAGTAGCATCAAACTATGAAACCATAGGAGTAACAAAAACAGTTTTAATTATGTCTTACTAATTAACAATAATTAACAGCAAAAGCATTCTATGAAACTTTGCCTGCAATGAAAGTCAGTTTTGAAAAAGCACCAGAAATCAACTTGCTTTCAGCACTAAGTGAGACACTCAGGTTTTAACAAATTTGGTTTGATTTATTTGATGATGGCAAAGCACACGAAAGTTACCTTCTTAAGAGGAGGGATGCCTTCATGGAAGACTTCCAAAGGAAACTGCCTCTTTCAGACGTTAGAGATTCGGAAAACCATGAAAATACCCATGCAGTCAACCCTTTCGCGGGATTTCTAGCATCGGACCGAACTACCAGTGCTCAACGTCCAAGAGGTAGAAGTCGCTGGTGTGCCTCAACAAATTTGGATCCTTCAAATGATAATTTAAGTTTTCAATGAAATTTCACGCTAGAAGACTATTGCTATTTCAAACAAATTCTGTAGCAAAAACGAACTAGATTTGACCGACTATTGAAAGAAAGTACCTTTAGAAGAGATGTTAACCTGGGGAATGCAAGCTGTTAAAGATCTGCAATAAACGAAACAAGTTTTTAAACTACTCGTTTTTGTTTGAAGCAGTCGCATAGTAGCATTGAAGGTAATTAAAATAGCCTTAAGATCAGTTTCGGCCTGTATATGATGAATAATACAAGGTGCGGCAATTAAGCGAATCACATAACAGAATACGCACACGTGGACGATTGACGAAGTATGGAAGTGTCTGCTAAATTATACAGGATTTAATAAGTTATCATTTAAGTGCAGTTCCCTCTAAATACGTTAAAAAGATAGTGAAGTGTAACAGATAGAAGCGGGTGATTTTTACCATGCTGCACGCGCTCTGGTTCAAATGTCGGAGTGAGCAGGTACTGTTCTCTCCCCCCTTAATTTTCAACACTGAACACTTGCGAGGGATGATGACTGAATTTAGGCTTCGTCTGCAGAACCAACTTCTCTGAATTGTTTATTACTGCTTAAGGAGTTGTTTTAGTTCTGACAGAAATTCAGTTGAGAACCTTCCTTGAAATTTTGAGTGAAAGCGCGATTTTGCCTCTTTGGAGAGGTTAGAATTCTTTTCTTTCAAAAGTAGCCGTGAGCCTGTATATGAACTTTAACCCTCTGATTGCTCAATTTGGGGACCGAAATCGCTTCAAAAATTGTGTAATTTTTTTGCATATTTTAAATCTACATATATTAAAGAATTGAAAAATGCATTTTTCTGTTCTAGAAAATATATTTTTTATATAGATTTTTATCATGAGAAACTAAGTTGCCAGAGAAACAAATTTCTACAGTTAATTTCTATTTTATTGCATAATATAAAAAGTAAAATATATAAAATTTAAGAATATAAAGCACTGTGGAAAAATATTTTAGAAATGCAGTTTAGTACGAGATTTAAAAATAGAGTTCAATGCAAAGTCCAACTTCACAGTCTTTGCACCAGATTCAATAAATCTAATAATTAATCAATCCAATTATTAATCCAATTAATAATTCAATAATTAAATAATAGAGATAATCGCTGAATGTTTTCTAGTAGCCATTTCTGTAAGAAAAAGCGGCAAAAAGTGGAGTTTGAGCGGTAATACTACGTGCCTTCAAACCCCGCAATTTAGTGGACAATTAACGGTATCCGTTGGCCAAAGCGTAAACTAAACGTACAATACTGTATACAATATATTTCAGTGGTTAAACGGGGAAAAAACGGGATGCGCTCCTCAATAAAGGAAGAAAAACATGCCCGCGGAAATCGCTGGATGAGCAGCCAGAGGGTTACGCTATATGCTTAGTTCAACTGAAAAGTAGAACAGATGGGATGATAAATCATAAATGAAAACTCATTCTCATGTTGCTGCCGAAATTTCTCTTAGAAAATGCTGTTTAGATATATAGCTAAACCAAAATTAGAAACCTTAAGACAATTTTTGAAGATTTAACGTTAGTAATTGTACATATACATGTGTCATTAATATTACTCTGGAGTTCATTCCGTTTTAAAACCTACGGAAAAACAGACTTCCTATTAAGTAATGATTTTAAGAAGCTTTTCAGAGTGGCCTAGAAAAGGATTATAGTACAAGGGCGAGTCAAATGAAAGTGAGCCAATGCGAATATATGACAGACAGAGTACTTTATGTAAAGGTAGTCTCCATGAACATTGAGACATTTATCCCATTGACAAATGAGCCGCATGATCCCCGTCTCGTAAAACTCCTTGGGCTGTCGATTCAAAAAGTCTGTAACCGACTCCTTCACGGCGTCGTCCGACACGAATCTGGTACCCTTGAGATGTTTTTTGTTTCCCGAAAATGTGAAAGTCGCATGGCAACAAATCTGGGCTGTATGGAGGATGTTGCAGCGTGTCCCACTTGAACTTTGCCAGTTGTGTCTTAACCACATCAGCGATGTGGGGACGAGCATTTTCGTGTAGCAAGATCACACCATTCGTCAATCTTCCAGGTCGTTTGTTCTTGATTACGACACGCAGCCGATCCAGCGTTGCACAATATCGCGAACTATTGATAGTCTCTCCACGTTTAGCAAATTCAATCAGTAATGGCCCCTGACGATCGAAATAAAAAGTCAATAGCACCTTTCCCGAGGAAATGACAACCTTTGCTCTCTTCGGGGGTGGTGAATTCAAATGTTTCCACTGTAAGCTTTGCCGCCGTGTTTCAGGTTCGTAGTGGTGGCACCATGATTTGTCTCCGGTCACAGTTGCAGACAAGTTGTCACTCTCATTGTGATACCGGATGAGATGAGTCAAAGCAGCGCCGAACCTCTCCGTCTTCTGGCGGTCGTTCAAAATCTTGGGCATCCATTGAGCACACAAAAGCCGATAACCGAGATGATCATGAATTATGGTGTGAACCGAACCGTGACTGATGTTCACATGCTCTGCCAGTTCATCGATGCTTACCCTCCGTTCTTGTCTAATCAGCTCATCAACCTGTGCAGTTGTGTCGGAGGTGATTGCAAGGTGGCTTTGGCCTGGTCTTGGATCGTCTTTGCAACTTTCACGTCCTTCTCTGAACCGTTTGCTCCAACGCTTCACAGTGGCCAATGCGATGCAATGTTCACCGTACACAGCAGTCATACGGCGACTAATTTCATGTTGGGAAACACCTTCAGCTGTCAAAAACCTGACCACACCACGCTGTTCCTCTTTTGGAGCGTCCATTATGTCACGCTACCGTCTTCAACCCAGTGTAAGAGCGCCTTAAGAACTTTAACCTCACACTTTCGCGCCACTTTCGTAAATGAAGGCTGTCTCTGTGCTACGCGCATGCGCCGCAGACGATGGACCGAACCATTCTTGCTGAGGAGGGGTTGGCTCACTTTCATTTGACTCGCCCTTATACAATTAATAACTAATAGCAGTTAATGTTACTAGTTGCAAAATGAAGAATTCTGATGTTTATATATAAACATACGCATTTTTTCCTGCATTTCCTTTTACGCAAGGTTCATAAATTATATTTGAGGGTAAGTCTGTAGTAGATATACATCAGTTCCAGATGATAGTGCCATCAAATAGTCCTATCAGTTTCATAAATAAGCTTCGAATTCCTACATTAATCCCTTATTGGTGGGACAAGTTTGGATATGTCATTTCATGTTAAAAGATTTGACAAAAATAAATTCTCACTTCAGTTCTCTAGAGAACAGTATTTTGAAGTGACAAATGTTTGAAATAAAGTCTGTAGGAGCATGGGGTTACAGCAGCTTTAGAAAATGAAAGATCATACTTCAAAACAAAGCTGCTGGAGCTAAATTCAAGTAGAATTTAAAAAAAACACGGCATGAAATTTTTAGTAATCAGGTAGTGATCGTAGTCCAACCTTCCATTGGGTTAATAAGCTTTTGCGAAAGATGTGTTAGGCATACAAGATTATCAGATTAAAAATGCGTCAACATGTTGCGTGCGTACGAGTTCGTTACGAAATCAATGCACAAGTCCGATGAAAAATGAAAATTTACTATCACAACAAATATGATTAAATGTCCTCAAATAATAGTGCCAGTATCACAGTAGTTATCTTAACTACTCAAACGTTCAAGAGAACTTAATTCAAAACAGCTAAAGAAAGCTAATCCCGCGGATTCGCTACAGTCAACAAGAGTAGTTTTCTAAGTAAACTTAAAACAACAAACTAAAATAAATCACGGAGTAACTGAATTGAGAGGTTTTCTTCCTTTTTATAAGATTTTTAAATCGCGCGCGAGAACTTCCTGGAACTTTCTCAAAATCAAAAAGATTTTTTAAACGTTAAATGCACGCGCTCTTGTATTTTCAATTTTCCGGCTTAGCTTTCTTTTAATATTCGTCACGCGCTGCTCTGCGCAGTGATAAAACCATTTAATTTACAATTCAATTAACATTAGCTATTTAAATACCAAATCCGTAACAATATTAAAGAAAATAAACAGATTTAAAGAAGTACAGTGCCGTCGCCAGAGGCAGAGCAATCAGGCAGCTGTAATGGGTGGCAGAATTAAGGGGCGAAAAATTTTTGAAGGACCCACAAAGAAGCCTAGGACTGGCTCTAATCTAGGCTCTATTTGCAGCGAACTAGAAAAAAGAAATTCTCAATACAACAGAGTAAATAACACAAGCTGAAAAGATTTCGCTAGCATTAGTATCCTGTATTTTCACAAAATTTGTTGAGCAGAACTTTGTTTCCAGTCCGATAAGAAGACATTCCTACTGTACGAAATGGGGGGTGTCATAACGCCGAAATCTCCTTTAACAACGTTGAGCCCGGCCCCGAATTTGCCGTCCTTTCTTCTCAGCCGGCACGAGCGATCAAGCGGTGCAATGTTGCAGGGTGATCCGCGACTTCATGCACTGATTAGAGCTTATCTGTTGGTGAGCTTTTGTCGACTAGACAGACAAACAAGCCCTGCCTGTGCGTGACAAAGCTCGTGGTCGCGAATGTTAATACTGTCGGTCCCGTGGCCAGCCAAACGAAAATTCCAGTGCCAGGCCACACAGAAAGTTCACTGCCGGGCTCAACGCGTTAAAAAAGGAAATTGTCTTCCAGCAGACGGGCATGGTTGCCCAAAATGGGTACAGTCACTGGTTGCATCTTTCCTTTTAATATGAATATAATTATGTACTACCGGAGCAAGTAGTATAATTTGATGAAAACCATGGATTAGCTCCGGAAGCAAAACGGAAAGCCGCCAAGATTTTCTGTAAGGAGAAAACAGCTTGGTGAATGCCCTTATAGTTTTCGAAATGTGTAAACAAGTCCTGTGGTAGAGGAAGATGAAGGTTGATACATCAGATCAGTGGTTTTCCCCCATGTGTAACGTGTATACGAGCCAGTTTCCCTTAGAAGTCCTCCACGAAGGCATCCTTCCTCCTTAGGCAGATAGCCCTAGTGTGCTTTGCCATAATTAAATACACCACCTTAGATCAAAGTGCATTCTCCACTGATCATCATATTCCAAGATTTGAACATACATTTTCCGAACTTAAAAATACATTTTCCGAACAAAATATAAAAGCCGTGTTGTAAATATTTAACTTGTGTAATTACTTTCGCATTGCAAGGTTAAACTAGCTTCTGTAGATTTATATTCAACTCAACAATAATGTAGCAGTGGACTCTTAATGGCAATCTACTTTATCCTCTTAATCTTTTCAGGGAGTGAATTTCCATTTACATATTAATATTTCCGTGTCCTATCAAAGTTGCAAGCAGATTTTGATATTGACGATAATTTTTTAGTCAATACCAAAAGGACTAAATCAGGGATGGCCAACCCGAGGCACGTGTGCCACTGTATGGCATGGCGACGTTCTAACAGCGGCACGAGAAGACTTGAAAAATTAAACGATTTGAAAAAACGATAATCTGTATCAACTCCGTCAATAGATACATACATAAACACATTAGACTAAATACTTTTCAATTTTAGTTCAGGCTTATTTCTCTGTAATGACACTGTCATATTGCTATAGGTTTTGGACAAATAAATATTTGTGAACAAATGTTTTCTATTACGAGCATAAAATCAAAATACTCAAGATAAACTGATACGCATCTAAAATGCTCAGTTTTGTTAGCATCTTCAAGAACTAATCCTAATACTTGGTAAAAATTACATATTCAAAAACCACATGAAGTACACACTGTTTAATAGTTATTTAGAATTAAATACTTCAAATTAATTATTTTACACATAATCCAACTGAGTGAACCTCTAAAAATTTTATTAGCAATAAAACTAGTTTAAATATTTTATTCATTATATTTTTTAAATGTCCACTACCCAGGCTTGCATAAAATGTGTGCTAATTATGTAAAAATTCCATAATCAGCTGATAAATAACATTTTTCACCCTTTTATTTTTAATACGTTGGAAAAACTGGAATGGCACTCGTAACTCTTCCCGAAAAGGTTGGCCACCCCTGGGCTACATACACATGCCTTCCTGAGCTTTATCAGATAGTTCGGGTAATTGAAATAGTTTAAAAATCTCAAATTACAATGCTCTTGGACAACTTTGGAAGATTAAAAAGCCACTATAAAAAAGTTTTTTGCTATGTGACCAAACTGTTTCTAAACGTGCTAGTCTGATTATACAAAATAATCTTTAAATGTAGTAGGGACTCCGACGAGCGTCATTTTGCGACATTTTAATCTCATATGTTTGCATAACGTTAGTACACACAGGTTCATTTTAGAAGGTGCGTTGACAGTTTTAATAAAGTACCCCTGAATGTTTTCAGCACCGTTTCGTATTAACATATTTTGTACCCAAAGGAAGACTTTCCCGATAATCTAGGATCTAAAAATTCGAGTAATTTAAGATATTAAAGTCAAGGGTTAAAACATGAAACAATGAAATTCACTATTACTAATTCAAGTTTAAGAGAGTTTCTGCAAGAAATCCGATATTATTTGCTTGTCAAAACATAATCAAAAAATTTAAAGTAAATTTATATTTCACTTTTTGCAAAGTTTTTAATCCGTATTGAATTTTAGTTGGAATGGAGTTTCGATTAAATTTCGTAATGCTCCAATGTTGGTCGTCATGGTTCAAAAACAACCAACTAACATATTTATACAGTTTTAACATGTAAAAAACCTCTCAAGAGCATCAGAATGATGAAGCAGAAACTTGAGTACTTTGGGTATTAAATACATATCAGTGCTGAAAAAATTCACAAAATCTTCATTACAAAGATAAACTAGCAAAATTTCTTTAAATACATGGAAAATTTCTTATTAAAGCATCAATTTAATGCTGTACTGCTGAGCAAGTACACCAGTTTCTCGAAACACAATGCCATGTTAAAGAATGGACACGAGTTTTAAACTAATCCCATTTGCGAGCAAAAAATGAATTTTAATACTATCCAGATTTAATATTAAACCCTCTTAATACTGCCTAGATTTAATATTAAACCCTCTTAATACTGCCTAGATTTAATATTAAACCCTCTTAATACTGCCTAGATTTAATATTAAACCCTCTTAATACTGCCTAGATTTAATATTAAACCCTCTTAATACTGCCTAGATTTAATATTAAACCCTTTGCACTCGAGAGGTGACTTAATCACCAATTGATTTGATGCGATTACTCGATCACCACTCTGTTGCGATAATTCGAGCCGTAACGATATTTAGGTTTGGTTTGGGCAATATTGATTCATGACTATTCAACAATACATGCTTGTAAAATCCTGCTAATCTTTAATAGGTTTCTCAGATTTATTGTTATAAGAGTCTTCGACGGTTAGTTCGCACTCGACATTCGTGGTAATAGTATTATTTTCAAAGTTTCTGAGCTTAATAAGCATGGAATACAAGGAAGAAATCGTTTCAGTGAATCATTCTAAACAAAAATACAGCTTAGCTTGCTGCCGGCTGAACGGAAAGGACAGCAAATTCGGAACGTGTTATGTAAAGTCTAAGGTACAGGCAGAAGTAATGTTAACTTACCGTAGGAACAGATACTCTATTTAAATCACGAGGAGGCAGTTTAGGAGGTTTAGGCTCTTTCATTGTGTCCATTTTATGAGACACCCCATCAGGAGCATTCAGAGGTACGCTATATGGATCCTCATCTAGTGGAAGGGACATCTGACGATGATCAAGTTTTTCACCACTTGAACGCTTAGACACTGCGAAGACCATGAATTTAAGAATTCGTTAACAGATCTAATACATTCAGGTGCAAAGTTTAGCACTGGAGGAATTCATTCTTTAATAATTTTGAAAAGCAAATTTGAAAGATATTTTTCACTTACCGGGTGGAAATTTAGAACGGAGCATATCAAGGGCAACTATATTTATAACCATTACCCAACAAGAGCAGTCTAAGATTTCAGGATAGTCTTTAACAAAACATATCATTGATACGCATTGGCTTTCCAGTTTCCGTCTGTCCGGATAAGCCTTCCTTAGTTCTCGGTTCACATTTGCTGCAAATTTCTTCATATCGAAGAGCTGAAATATTAAAAAATACTAAAAATTAAAGTTGCACTTTAGAAGTTAGTTTCAATGTATATTTCTAGCATAATTGGTATTTACTTTAGATTTTATTTTTTCGTTATTTGAATTCTATGCAGATAAGACTCAAATACAAGGATTTAAGCAAATTAATTTTTTCACCACTACGCATTTGAGGCACATATACCAATTATGAACATTCACCTAGCAGTTTTCGATACGAAATCTATAGATTATAACTCACTACACAAGATGCAAGCCTAAACATGTAAATCTGCCACATATGTTACATAGGCAAAACATTTAGAAACATTACATATGTGAACATTTAAAATTCCATGATCAAAAGTGAACTGAAGAATACATTAGTCTTATGCCAGGCAGCTCTCTAAACTACATTTAAAGAGATCGACACACAGGTTTCAAAGGGCGGGTACACCAATTTCTTATTCCGTTACGAGCTATTAAGATTAGGTGATCTTCCGACTGACTTCAGACAGGACTAACTAGTACCTCTTTAGTTGAAGGGCAGATTAGAACAATAAGTCGGGTGCCACTGTCTCTCCTCATTTGCAAAAGAGACAGATCTTCACCCACGGAATAGAGATCGCACCAAGAAGCTAGAAAAAAAAGACTAGCTTTTTAATCTCATCTCTGAATAGAAACAAAAAGGGGTGAAATGAAAGGCATAGGAAGGAAAAAAGCTGAATACCTACGACATTTAAATCGCTAGTCATATGCATGAACAGCCAGCCTGAGATTTTATGCTAAATGACAATTGTGAATTTTGTTCATCAGAGCCTACATTTTGTTCCGTGTAGCTTCAAAAATGCACAGAAAGATGTCTTACATCTGAAGATGTCTGGTTTCTTCAGTCTTAGAATTTAGGACAAAATATCTTATGGAAGAGATTTCAAAGAGAAAATGACACATTAAAGCATGCAAGTTTTCAAAAACATTACATGGAATAAGCAAGCGATTTTTTAAGGGAAATTTTCTGAAAATTGGGAAATTAAACTGCCAAGCTAAAGATCTTTAAATACTTTTTAATCCTTACGAATAAATTTTCGGTAACATGTTATATTTACGCGCGTTTTCTTAACACGTTGAGCGCCACGCGTATTTCTTAGGGAATCCCGTTCAGGCCACGCGTGCTGCTTCAAAGCGCTGGTATTGTAGGCTCAGAAGTAATGGCCGGAAAAAAGACCAAGAGATGTCAGATTTTGTAACAGCAGTAATGGAGAACCGTTTTTATATTTACCATGTTTCAATGAAATCCATTAGTCTTGTAATTAATCAAAATTAAGAATTTTTTAAATTCTGTAATCCCATAAAACAGTGTAAATTTTAGTTATATATATCATGATACACGCTGTCAGCCAGCGGCGTTCGACGCGGCCTACACAGAAAGTCTAGTGTCGGCCAGATGACTGACGCGACTTAAACGGAAAGTAATGTCGACCACATACGGCTGACGCGGCGCTCAACGTGTTAATAAAATAGAAAGATTTTTATAAAAGTTAAATGGAATTCTAATAAATGACCTTGAGTGTTATAATCCTGTGAAAAATAGAATTTCCTACTCTCACGTGAAAAACCCCAGCCCTTCCGACTAGTTGAGGCGGGGTAAGTGAAAGTACTCGTAGACTTAGATTTCAGCTCTTTCGAGTATCAGTTTCTCGTTTTGCAATAAAAGAACGAGATTTGTCTGGAAGATGCTATTGAAGTAAGGAGCATTATGCATCCGGAAATCTTTGTCGTTCCCTTATGTAAAAATAACGCAAATGTTTTTGTATACCAATTCTGATTTTATTTATAACCTGAAACTTCGTCTATCAAGTTTTAAAACATCTAAAACGGCAACCTGGCTTAATATCCTTCATCCCGGAGAGTTCGGCAACGTTACAATTCATTAGTTTTATCACATACACGGTAAAAAATGAGACTGCATATGCCTACCTGTGACAAACTTAGTACTTGATTATACAGCAGTTATTCCTAATAGATAATTCACATTTATAAAAACAAAAATTGTGGAACAGTTTACAAATGAACTTAAATTACTACATTCGGATTTGTGGTAAGTATGCAGATCAGAAGTAAGCGTTTGACTTAGATAAAAATAAGCAAATACGAGTAAGGTATGAACATTAGCGATTTAATTCAAAAGTTTGTTTTGCTTGCACTTTAAAGACTACAGTTTTGCACTTAATAAAGTAATTTCCTTACCTTTACCGGCTTTTCTATATCAAGTAACTGACTCGTTAAAATGACATCATTTGATACGCTGCTTTCATCCACTTTGACATCTTTTATGTAGACGTTAGATTTACTAACTCTCTTCACCATGATGTTACCAGCTTCATCCATCTTGATTTTTACACCCTAAAATACGAACATAGATTAGATCTTGAAGTTTATTTTAACATTTCTATTTCGTGCAATTTAAGAACTCACGTGTCCGATATGCTTCTTAAGCTCTTCTGTTTTTGCATCTCTCATTGGATTGTCGAAACCACACAGCCCGATTCTTCAAGGAAATGTGAACGCAGCATGAAAAGAAAAATAGTTTATAAAAATGAGAACAAAAACAATTTCATCTATATACAATTTTTTAAAAATTTGTTTCAGAATTTAAAAATAGTTAACTGTTCTTTTTCACAAAAATGTATTAACCACCCTTCAGTTTTCATTTTAGAATCTGAACGACTTCCCCCGGTGTTTGAAGATATACGCATAGCAGACTGGTTTCATTAAAGAAAATACTATTTCTACGCAGAATTCTACATAAGCTCTACAGCAATGATAAGAACTAAAAATATTCTATATAAAGCTGTATTTACCTATATCCATCAAAGCCGTTATCAGAACCATTAATTGTAAGCACAGGAGCACGGGCATATGCTTTAGCAACTCTGCGATTTCGTTCCAATACTATAATTTTCGCCCAAATCTCATCGTCGATCTGACGCCATTTATTGAGCACTTCTTGAATATGATCCTGAAACAAAAATTGAAGTCAGTATTAGCATTCTATTAAGTTTCTGCCAGATATTTGCCGCAACTTTGAATTTACCAACTTGTCATTAAAAATATAATGGAACTGAAGAAAACCGAAGCCATGGGATAAACCTAGAGTTAATACTGCTGAGAGAGTATTTGTAAATCACTACGATTATAAGATTCTAGTTCAACAACTCGAAAGAAAATGGTATCGGTTTGCTTCTGTACACTTTTATTATGTAGTTTAACTATGTAGAAGATTATTTACAACTAAATTATTTTCCACATTACAAGTCTGGTAGTTTATTTTTTTTGGGGGGGGGCCTTGTCAGTCTGCTGGTCGAAAGTGGATTTCGAGCTAATGAACATCTGCAGCGCGGGAAATAGTTTATGCTTCCCAGAATAAAGGAAAAGAGCTTTAAGCTTCAACTGTTCGAAATTGGCTGTTCGTGCCGCAGCAGAAAAATTCAAGTGCAAGTTACTCATTCGCCGGTAGCAGCTTCGCTGCTTACCATGACCTCAGGCACTGCTCTTCATAGAGCTAGTACTAGCTTAGAATGTCTGTCGGAGTTTCGTTTCGGAGTTATTCTAAAATTTTTAGGAGTTCTGGAGGAAGTCGTCTGGACAGCGTCCCAGCGCATTTCCAAAGTGTGCGCTATTATTGGTGGATTAGTGTTGCTTGCAGCTCGAACGTTCTAGAAACTTAAAAGATTAACTCGTTTCGACTACTGTGCGCATGCCTCGGTGGGGGCTAATCGCTCCTTTGTGGCAAACCACAAGCAGTTAAACTCTTTGGCCATTAATAGAACTTACTTCAACCCCATCGGCTTTTCAATTTCTCTAACGAAGATGTGGAGTCAATTGCGAAGATACTCCGTAACAAAAACGCCTTGGTCCTGACACAAACCTCGGTGCAGTTCTAGAGTGGCGAGTTTACCTTTTTTTTTCGCAAGTTTGTTCTAACGTTTTACGAGGCTGGGAAAATTTGAGAATCCAAGGAACGGAGATGGAAATGAGATTCGGTACTAGCTATAAGGATAGGAGGTTAACGATGGCTGCCGATAACACAGTAAGGATTACAATTTAATGTGGGGTAACAGTTTTCGACAAGGAGTTTTTACGAGCATAAAAATTCTTACCGAAGAGACGGTTCCAATTATGCTTTTTATCATAGTGGTGCGAAAGTCATTTAAAATTTCAGGAACTGAAAATAGTTGGAAAGGTTACATCGCATTGTCATGGAAAAACAATTTAAATAAGGAGTTATGCTTCTGCATCGCATGAAGTTGAAAACTCATTTAACAGCCGAGATTGCACAAACAGATTAGATACAGGGAAGCAAGCTTATGGGGAAAATATTCAGAAGTAACGTACAATTCGCATTTTAAAATTCTGCCTTAGACATGAAGATTTAAATCCATAATAGTGTCACATGGGACTTGAAAGGGACGCATTAATTTATGCGTTTCATTTATTGCTGTGGAGTTAGTAGAATGTCGAAAGACACTGCCACTAATGAAAATAATGCCACTAATGGAAAAACTATTAAGTGCAAGACTTAAATTTTCCTTCCATTTAGACTTAAGCTGTTTAAACGAATTTTTCACCTGATTGAGTATAAAATCAGAGTTGATCTTATCGAAAACCACATTTCAGTACATTTTTAGACCAACAAATTATTTCTCCTAAGAATTTAAATTGGATTTTAGAACGTATGTTGGATCTCCGACAAGGTCTACATTATAGGCCCATTTTACTTTATGTATAGATATTTTTTTCAAGTGTAAAATATTATACTAATTAGCCTTAGAAATAAGTGTATATTTTAGTAATCTAGGAAACATTTCAGAAAAGAGAATTTTGCCTTGCGAATTGGCGGTCCCTTCCCAGGCATCGTAAATATATAGAGAGAGTTAACATTTTTCACGGAACTTAACAGATTTGAATGAAAAGTATATTCAAGAGACTCATCAGAAACTGAATACATTTAGAAGCCATTTAATAGCAAACCTTAAAAGGTTCAATCGCTTAGGATCCATTAGTTCCAAAATCCAGTAGTTTAGGATCGATCCTGTAGATCTAATCTGTCACGTACAAGTTAAATTTATTTAAAAACCTTTTACTCATTAGTTTGACCAAAACAAAATGTATTCCTAAATTTATTTCAGAAATTGCAACTCTGAAATGCAATTAGCGAATGGCTATTCCTTTAATTTCGTGGCTGAATATTCAGAGTTGGAGTCTCAATATAAAATCGCAATTCAAAAGCGGGGCCAATTTCATTAAAAGAAACTCCTGAAATCATTCAATTAAAGTAATCCTTTTAGAAATTCTTCGATTACTTGAAGGGCTTTCTTCTAAGCTAAGAAATTACGTATTGTGAAATGTTAACATCCAACTTGATTTCGTAGGCACATCAAATCATATACCAAATATTAAAAATGACGATGCAGAAGACAAGATGACACCGAGCTATAGGATTTCTCATTTCCACTTTTCAAATACCGAACTTTTACTTAAATATACAGATAGCAGCCCCTAACCGATATCTAATCAGTTTTATTCGTTTCAGAGATTGTTCCTGCGTTTTGTTTTCTGCCATTTATAATTATGCATCTTGGTGTTTAGATTTAATTTTTTCTACTTCTAAAACTGAGAATTGCCTTTGAAAACATTACCTGGCTACGAAAACAGAAAAAAAAGTCTTCCACAAGAACCCTTAACCACACAAAGTAAACCCTTAGTCCAAAGTTAAAAGTGGAAACGGTGCAGACTCAAATTCATCTACTTATACATGTTCTGATAAGTCGCCCAAAGTCTGAGATCAAACAAACTAAAAGTGCAACACTTTCTGAAGAAAATATCTGCATGCATGAATTAAAAAGCTCAATATCACAACTCTAATGCGGTTGAAGGCTTAGTCTTGGGTAATGTCCCACTCTCAGCCGGGAATGCTAAAAGTAAATTTGAAAACTCAAACCAAAATAAATGTCAACTACAGCGATTCAGCATATGCTAGTCAGATGACGAAAGATCACATTATGAAGGGACTACATCCTATTAACAGCATTTTCCATAAAATTCAAATAAACAGCTTCGCTGTGATAATTATGAATAGGAAAACAATGGTGAGAATTTTCTTGGAGGTGCTTTTTTAAAGAGCACCAATAAGATTCACCGCTTTTGTTGCAGAATTTTCGACTTCGCGAGTAAATCAGGGTTAAGAAAATTTGGAATTAATGATTACAATATTTATGAATAATTATAGTTACATGATAATTTAGTACATCAACTTGAAATCTAAAGAAATGGTTTGATACGTTGTAAGGATCCCAAGTTTTACTAACGTTTATTTTATTTTAAATCTTTACCATCACTTCTTATTTTCCACTTCCGGCCAGAATTAAAAGCTTTAACTTATTTATGCAAATTTGTCTTGCTAACGCCAAGTACTTAAGTTGTGGCTTTTTGCCAAGCAAGAGAGAGGAAGGAGTTATTAGAAGCAAGCCGCTTGCCATAGTAGTTTTACTCGGTTGCTGGCTACCTTCAAGGCCAGAGGTTTAATCCTCTTGATAATTTTAAACGTATCTTAGTTTTAGCAGCTCTCTGTACTACATACGGATTTTTGTTAAATAACGGCCAATCTTAAAGTTAGGCACTTGTATATTAATCCAAAGTTAGTTTTAGTTAGAGTTTTAGTTAGTCTTACGTTCAGACCACAAGTGGTTGGTCTCTGTATTCCGAAGTTCCGGAAATCTCTGTAAAGATAGAAAAATAAAGGGTTTCGTATACCCTTCCTGTGTGTATTGTCTACTTCACAATTTATTGAACATAGCTTGAGTAAGCTCCCTGTTCCGAGTCAGGACAGTTCATGTTTACAAAGCAAGTAAAGAGGAATACAAGTCCTGATAACGTCACTGCAATTGCAGATAAACATACTGATAAGGAGCTTCATTTTAAGTGGAAAAGACAAAATATTTTTATAAAGTTTTAGAACGTTCAGTGTGTATCATTTAGTTCATAGCTGAATGTAATTTGGTTTCCAGAGGAACTTCAAATGCATTATTTACACCACACGCACAAAAAATCCCGTTAGGTCTTGTTGAGCAACTTTGAAAATTTGTTTAAACAATTAGCCTTTACATGGCTTGTCACTAAAAAAGGTGCTTCGTTATTATGGAATAAATGATCAGAATGAAATAGTCCATTTGTAAAAAACGCTGTACGAAAATTTACTTAACCGAGATAGATCAGCAAAATCTGAAGCCGTACTTCAGATAATTTGCTAGATAAAAGTCATGTGGTGCAGTTTGGGTTTATAATAAGATTTTTAGATTCAGAGGGTATTACGCAATAAACATTTTGTTAGCTATAAACTTAACCTATTACAAACTTTAGGCTAAGGATTACATAAAAGTTAATTTTCCGATAGAGAACCTATACTTATAGAATTGCAGAGGCCAAGCCTGCGATACTAGTTAAAATATGAAAGGTAAAGGGATTCAGGCATGGAACATGAAAGAAGAGGTATTTTATACAACATGTGGATGTTATACCCAAATTTAACGGTTAGTGATAATGCAACAGGTTGCCAGGAATCGACATTTTTTGGTACTGTACAGCGTATCTTGTTTTTCTGCCTCGCCTGAGAGTGCAAAACGTAACGTGGATTGTATTAAAAATGTCATATTAACACTGGCTGAGAAAAACAATGTTTATTGCATGTTAAAAACCAAGATAAACTCATTGCTATTATTTAGTTTTTCCCCTCTCGAAAATTTATAATTACTGTTAAAAAGTCACCAAAATTAAACTTGCCCGGGGCGCCAGCAACCATAGCGACAGTCCTGCGCGTGGTCACCAACTGTACCGCGAAAAATTACGAAACGGAGGTTGGAACGAAATATAGTCTACTGTTAAGTATTTAACACAACTTAAGACAGTTTCTAAAAGCACTTTCAAAGAGAAAACAAAGTGGTCTAAATCGCGCGCATAAAT